TTGACATTTACCATCATAAGCAGCGGACATTTGTAAGGATTTTGGTTAAGAATTACTAATTTGATGAAATTCAAACAAAAACTAATAGAATGTACCCATCACACGGGATGAGGGACAGACATGGAGGATAGGATCAACACGGAGCTTTAATGACGAATGACCAAACAGGAAAGTTAACAATGGAGTAGGGCAAGATGTGACTGACGTTGAGGTCGGTCCTTACCCCAGGCTGCAATTTGATCTGGGTCGTTAGTGTGGAATTCCATGAGTTGGGCTGGGTATAGCGTGTCATCTCATGGAACCCATCAGCTGTCCTGATGGTTGTGGCAGAATGTTTTCAGGAAGATCCAATCTCCTAGATCTTTTTTTAAGAATGACTTCCACACTCTAGAGATAAACTGGTGCCTTGATCAGAAATGATATCTTCAGGTAGATCGTAGTTTCTGAAGACTTAGTAAAAAAGGTTTTGGACATCTCAGATGCATTGGATAGGAACCAGGCAGCAGGCTTTAGAGAACTTTTTCTACTACCACTATAATGCATGTGAAGAATTCAAAGGCATGGAATGGGCAATGGAAAAAGTTTACCCTCTTGTAGGTGTCTAGAAGATTTGGAAATGGCACAGTTGGGGGATACTAGTACAAACCAATGGACTTCCTGAAACAGACTGAGCCAACAGTAGCAATTACGGATGAGCGAGAGTATTTGTTGGATACTCGTGTTACCATCGAGGAATGCAGGAGTCCATGAGGGAAAGGTGGAGAATGGATGGAACGTAGGTCTTTCCCTCAGGACCTCTCGGCAGAACAGTTTCTGACTGAGTGGCCTTGGTGATCTGTTCATCAAGCGACCACTGAATCGAGCTGACGATTACAGTTGGAGAGTCTGGAGAGTGCAGCCAAGAGAGGGCACCTGCTTTCACATTCTTGGTTGTGGCTGATGGTGTCCAGGACAGAGACTTGGGCTTGTTGCATAGTAATGAGGTTAACAGCGAAGCAATTTGGCTGAAGTTGGAGATGAAACATCTGTAGAAGTCATAGCAAATCCAAGAAATCATTGTAATTCCTTTACTGTAAAAGATAATAGCCAGTTTCTGACTGCTTTAACCTTCCCCTGGTCCATCTGTAAACTATTGGCATTGATGATGTAGCCAAGAAACTGGATAGAAGATTGATGAAATTCACATTTGTCAAATTTGAGGTAGAGATTATTCTCCTGAACCTTTTTGAGGACCTGCTTAATATGGAGACAATGGTCGGTTTCGCTCTGGGAATAAATCAAGATGTCATCAATGTAGATAATCACAAAGTGGTGGAGGTACTCCCGGAACACTTCGTTGATAAATTCCCGGAATACAGAGGGTTAGTTGGTTAGCCCATGTGGCATGGCCTTGTACTCGTAGTGCCCAGTTGGTGTTATGAAGGCGGCCTTCCATTCATCTCCCCTCTCCGTATACGGATGAGGTTGTATGTGTTATGCAGTTCCAGCGTGGTGAAGATTTTTGAGGGCAGAGGGGACCAGGAGAAGAGGAGAGCAGTACTTGATAGTGTTTTGGCTGAGTGGCATGTCCCTTAGATCAGGGGTTTTCAACCTTTTAGGACATGCGCCCCCCCAAGTGTGTCTAATTTCACTGGCGCCCCCCCCCATTACTTTATTGACATCAACATAACGCAAATATTCATTAAAGCTATTAAAGCAGTGAATGATTTTTCTTTTGCTCTTTTTGATTAACATTTATATAAGAAATGCACGGATCCGTTATACTGATGTACATCTGATATTTCCTTTACTGTTTATGTTCACTTAAAACAACCGACTGTGCCTACAAAGATACTTGTCAAGACAGCCATTGGTATTCACCTGCTGTCTGAGAAGGCTATCTGTTTGTGCACTTCAGATGTGCATAGAAACGCTTTATCACAGCGCGTGCGTACCGCACTGAGATGTCTTGGGCTTGAATGGCTTAAAATTACTTTAATGTTTAAACTGACAAGACTTAAAACACGTGAGAATGAAAAACTTTCTTGAGGAAGCAGCACTGGCCTGATCGTTAAGATAGTTTTGGGGGG